AAAATATAAGTTTTATAGTGAAAAATACAAGAATAAACGATTTTAGTGCAACAGTAAAAGAAAATAAAACAAAAAGTATACATAAATGTGATTAATATTTAGGTATTACGAACTAGTTATCAAAAAGATAATGATATATACTAAATATAGTCATGTAATGGGGTACAATATAAAAATAAAGAGGCAAATTAATTTGATCATCATTAAGTTACATGATGTAACATTTAATTTCTTTGTAATACATCTTAATTTTTGTTGATTAATTATGAATTTTTTTGATGAAATGGTAACAATAACTAAAAAAGATTTGATTATATTATATATAATATACAAAATAATATTATTTTTAATTTAATTAAGATTAAATATATTTACTAATATAAATTGTTTAAATTTTAATTATTTTTATAAATAATATTAATTAATTGCAATATATTAAATAACAACTTTTGTTTAAAAATAAACTTGTTTAATTTTAATTATTTTAAATAATAAGTAATATTTTTTTTTATTTTATTATATATATTTAAATAGTATTAATTTTATATAATTATTAATATATAACAATTTTCTTATTTAAATAAATTTTGGTAACTAGTTATATCATAATTTTTTTATGGATCTCTAATGGCTTACATAATAATTTAAGATATTAGAACTATGTTCAATTAAATTTTTTGTAATTTAGTATAATTATACTATATTATAATAAAATAATAAAATAATAATATTCTTACAAAATTGGTTTAAAAAAAATATATTTTTATTATAATTCTTATTAATAATTCGTCAATAATATGACTAAAAAAGATTGTCTTTATAATAAACCATGATTACTTTATAATTATAAAAAAATTGACAAATTAATTAATAAATAAGTATTGTACATGTATTACTGAATGTAATTACTTGAAATACCATATTAGGAATATTTTTCACTTCTTAATGCTAAGCTAACGAAATTGTCTGTTAAATATTTAATGCTTGCTACATACTCATGTTCAATAATTAAATGATTTTCTGCAAAAATCTTTCAAATCCACAGGTTGCCAGTTGACTGTTAACTTTTCTCGATATAATAGAATTGCATGCAACACCGCCAATTTTTTTGACATGAAAAATTTGAAGATTGTTGCCCCCGGGTCTAATTTTCGGTGCTACTTTGAAATGGAGATATTCTATACAGTAGACTCTGCAATTAGTGTTCTTGACATATTTTCCTCTTCAATTAAGAAATATGTTTTATAATTTCGTTAAAATATTCACGTTGAAAAAGTGTAAAATGTTAAAAATTGTATGTTTAAAAAATATGATATATACTGAAAAAGCTTATGGTAAAGTTCCATCGATTCCATTATTGATTCAATTATTGATTCTATTAAGCATTTTTTTAGGGACTAAATACGATAAAAAAAATTGTCAATACTTTAGCATTTAAAGACATAATTAAATTGAATATTATATTTACTTGCGGCTTCCATGTATCGACGCGTGACATCACCAGCTACTTCAATAGATGCACGAAATCCAGCCTCTATTGACTCGACAACTGCCATGTACATTGGATAAAACGAGGTCAACAACACTACTGCAACAAGTAGAATATCTCCCGCCACTATCAACGGCACAAGGGCAATTGTCATCAGCACGAATCCAAAAAACGTGACAATCGCGCAAAAGATATCCAAGGTTGAAAAAGTTTTCCACAAAATAATTTCACATCGAATCAATAATGGAATATAGAATATAATCGCGGCAATTACTGTTGTTGGTACGGTGACAAAAAAATAAAATGGGAAAATAGATATGCCCACCACGAGACGCCAAAAAGCGAAATCTATTGTATTTCCTTGGTATCGTTTTTCATCGTCTACCATTTCCGGTATTATTTTTGAGTGGACTGCCCACATTCCCGCGGATAATTGTAATGCAGAAGTGAATGGTGCAGCTACCGGTGATTCTGATAAATACGACCATCGCTCTTCCAGTTCAGGATTATAGGCATTTAGTTCCACCAGATCATGGCCTCGCGCTCGATGATACAAATAATAAACCAATGCGGCTGTTTGAGAAAGGTCGTATAAATGATCCTCACTTCGCGCTGCATGTTCGATAATTGGACCCAATAGTACAATCCAAATCGTATAAATCACACATACTGAAATTCCAACTGGCAAATAGAGCACGATCAGAACAGGAGAAAATAGAAATACTACGAATTTCAAGTTCGGTCCAATATGCTTATTGAAATAGATATATCGATAAACATTTCTGATAAATGCTGGGAACCAAATTAACAGAATGAAAATATTTGGTATGAGACATAATGCAAGTACTGGGAATACACATAGTGTGGCGTCAAGCAATATTAAGTGAACACTGTAAAGAAACCGAAGTGCGTCATGATAGTCTGGCATTTTTGTTTGGCTTTTATTCAGGAGTGTCTTTAATTTGATTTTCCCCTTTTTTAATTCTCAAAAATACGTAATACCGATACAATTACGTTAGCGTATTTAACACAAACAAACTGTTGTGTGACAACGCCAGATTTTTCAGTAACATTGATGTGCTTGCATATTACCAAATATGATTTTTTTACTTACAATTCTAAAAAGTTGTTTCAGAATCATTATAAAAAATACATGACAACGATATATAAAACTTTTCAAATTTTAACAATTCTCAAAAATGTGACGATTACGTTAAAAAAATCAAGATCTTGATATATAGAAAAGAAAAATATATATAAAAATAGAGTTTTATTGTTTAAAATATAAAGAATAGATCGCTAGCAAAAGCAATTGAAAAATTTACAAATGCAAATAAACAAGTTTTTTTTAAAAAAAATAATATTATTTTAATAATAAAAATTATTTCTCTCAAAAGCTACATTGGTAAAAATCAGAATTTTCTTTTAATAATAAAATGATTAAAATTTGTTATGAATTAACTTATAAACCAACACAAAATATAATAAATAGATTATATATATCTTTAAAACTGAAAGTTTTATTTATTATTTCTTGTAATGAAAAAATTAATATAAAAAATTTGAAACATATTTGCAAGCCAGATTATATAAAGCTTTTTTTGCAAATGCTTTAAAAATAAAATAGTAATTGAATTTTCATGAATTATATTGCTTATATTAAACCAATTTGATTTTTATATTGTTTAATTTTATAATAATCTATTATATTCAATTAATAAATTTTATATAAAAATACAATTAGATCTCTATAAAAGAATACCATTAGAATATTCAAATTATATTCTATTATAGAGATGTTTTATTATAGGATTTTATAATTATTATTAAATAATATTATAATAAAACAGTTTATATTTATTAGCAATTAAATATTAGTATTATTAATAAAATATTGATTAATTATTATTTGTTTTTTTGATTTTTTCTGCATTTTTTCATAATTATATAGTCTTTTTCTAAATAAATTCTGGTTTTCTATACTAAATTTTTCTTTTACTAATCACTCTTCAAATCTAATAATCTTTTTTAATGTATTATATACTTTTATAATTGTAATTATAGCTGGTAAAAATTCTTCTAATTCTTTTTTTGAATTTTTAATTGTATCAATTTGCTTTATATATTTGTTAAAATCATATTTACAATTTCAATATATCCAAGAATATTTTCAATTACAAGTAATTTATAAATTGTAATAATATAATCTTTAATATTTTGAATTAATATTTGTATATTGTTGATAAATTATTTGTAATACTAGGTATTTTCAATTCTTGAATTTTTAATTCTTGAGTATAGAGAAAAATATTCATCTAATATTAATATTTTTAAATTATAATAGATGTCACTTTAAATTATAATTGAGCAATATAGTTAATTATTTAGTTTATTTTTAAAAAAATAAATTAATATAAGATAAAATTATATAATAATATAATATATTTATTAACTATTCAATATTAATTTTTTATTCAAATTAATACAAATATATTAACAATATAATTGCTTGTACTTGATTTTGAAAAATTTGATAATTTTAATATTTATTAATTAAAGATATAATATGATATTTAATAGAAGATAATACTATTATATAATAAAATTTTATATTAATTATTAATTAAAATTATATTTAATCTTATTGAATAATTTTGAAAATACATATTTATATTTTATTTAGTTAAGATTTTTATATTGTTACTATTGTGATATATTATATATTATTTAGCTATTTGTTAACATACTAGAACAAAAAATCAGTTAGATAAATATAGTGTTATTATTATAAAGAGCTCAATATTTATTTACAATAATAATATTTCTTTCATATAATAATAGTATTTAACAAAGAATAATAATATAATTGATTTTTATTAATTTTTTATTATAAATTAGATTTATATTATAATATATACTTAATATAGATTATTTTATTAAGATTTAGCATGTGTTCTATTTTTATATTTTAATTAGTTCTTTCATGTATTTAATTTTTCTTTGTATTATTAATATTATTTTGTGCTAGTATTTCTATAACTGAACTAAACTGAATTTTTGTCCAGGTTCAAGTTCAGTTCAAAATTCAAATCAAACTCGAATTAGACTTTGGCTTTAATTCAAAGTTTGAACTAAACTCAAACTGAACTGTTATACAAGTTTGAGTCTGGTTCGAGTTTAATTAATGATTAACATATAGTATTATATACCAATTTGTAGCTCTAAATATATGCTACAACTTTACTTATAAGCACAATTTATAATATTTAGTAAGAATTAAAAGTTTATATAGTAATAACTAAAGAATTTTATTTTTATATTTATTAAACTTGATCATAAATACTATGTAACTCTCTGAATAATTATTATTAATAATAACTATTTTATATCAATTTGTAGTTCTTATTTCTGACTATAACTTTACTTATAATCATAGTTTATAATTATTATAGCAAAATAAATATTTATTATACTAAAACTAAAGCAAATTAAAATCATAATAATTAAAATTATTTTTTTAAATTCATATAACTTCTTAAATATTTATTCTAAATATTAACTATCTTATATCAATTTGTAGTTCATATTATGATCTATAACTTTACTTAGAACATCAACAAATATTTACTTAAACTTAAATTGAACTTTTGGTGTTAATACTAGATTTAAATATGTAATAATTGGCAAATTGAAGTAATATTGTGTGTTATTTGTGATATATGAGAATTTTTATTAATTTTTTTTGAAATAGAAATATATATTGTTGTATAATGAAATTTCACATTAATTATTAATCAAAATTATTATTTAATCTTATTGGATAATTTTGAGAATATATGTTTATATTTAATTAGTTAAGATTTTCTTATTTATATTTTGTATTACATTATTATTTATATTATTATTTATATTATTATTTGTATCATATTTATATTATTATTTACAAATAATAT